CTTCCCCTACCCCTCCAACCAAAAGAGAATTGAGACACCCCTACCCCTTCACGTGAACACGCGAAACGGAGGGGTAGGGGAAAGGGGAAGGGCTAAGGGGTAGAATTGGGATTGGGCCTATGTTTGTGTTCATGTACTCGTATAGAGGCGACAGCCGCTGAAATCACCGCGAGCCTCATGCGCGCTTCAGTATGTGTTTAGTAAACCAAACCGCGTGTCTGCGCCATTCATTCACACAGAGACACGCAGAACATGCAGGACTCATATTTAAATGGTATTTTTGTGGCTTAATATTCAAAGACACCAGTCTATATTGCGTTTTGTTTTAAGTGTACTGACCTACTTTTGATGTATCCATCCAAAATTTCATAGGGCCTTAATAATGTTACAAAATATTTCTATTTCAAACGAATGCTGTTCTTCCGAACGTTCTATTCATCAACGAATCCTGAAAAAAATAAATGTTTCTTGAGCAGCAAATCAGTATATTCGAATGATTTCTGGAGGATCATGTGACACTGAAGACTGGAGTAATGATGCTGAAAATACAGCTTTGATCACAGCAATAAATTACATTTTAATATATATTCAAATAGAAAACTGTTATTTTAAATTGTAATAATATTTCAGAATTTTACAGATTTTACTGTTTTTTTTTTTTTTTATCAAATAAATGCAGCCTCTGTGAGCAGAAGAGACTACTTTCAAAAACATTAAAAATCTTACCGACCCCAAACCTTTGAAAGGTCAAACCTAAACAACTTTAGCACCGGAAATATGAACACGAGCAAATATAACGCTTGCATGTCAACCACAAGTGAGATCACATCATGCCTGTTAAACAGGACTCATACAAAAAAGAAACAACTTGTGGCTGAGCTGTGGTTCATGCAACACTTCTCATACGGTTATGCTGGACACGGATACTAACACATTTTAATATGAAACTGCATTCAGATTCCATATCATTTCCAAAATGTGGTGTATTTCAGAGTGAAACAAAATATTCAACATGAAAAAAAAGATTGGATCATGAAAATGAGGTGTCATGTATTATAATGGATCCAGATGGCCGGAGGGGAGGGGCTAAAAAACAAGAGGGCTTGAAGATGTCATCAGAAAAGGAAAGTTGTTTCAGAGGTGCAGCAGGTTATTATGTTTCAATGAACGCCTACAAATTGCAATGTGCAGTCATGAACTGTTCACAACAGGGTTTCCAAAACTGGGATATGTGAGCAGATGAAAAGCCAATAATTGACTTTATTCACTGAACTGAACTGATCTCACCTGTCTTTTTGGTTAAATTCTGTTTGCATCACTGAATCATTATGGTCTTGTTTATCACAGCAAAGCTGCTTTGAAACAGTCTGTATTGTATTAAGCGCTATAGAATTAAAGATGACTTGACTCGAACTGACTGAATTAAATAAATCATAAAACTAAATCTAAAAAATAAAACCAATTAAGCCAAAAATGCTTACAGAAAAAAATACATTAAAAAAATATTATAAAATATTGATAAATCAAAATATTGATATAAAATTATTAATATTTGTATCAATATTAAATATGAATCAATATTTAATATAATTTAAAAACATTCTTTTTGTTTACCTTCATGTTGTGTGACCATTAACTTCCATTAAATAATGTTAGCAGATGAAATGTTTGATTTTGATCATGTATTTTGATAACTTAAATGTTGAAATTAACATTAACCAAAATTAATGCATTAGAAGTATTTTTCATTTTTAGCTCGTTAACTAATGCAGTTAACTAAGGGGCCTTATACATATATATATATATTTATTTTTGTATTTTTTGTTTACCTACATGTCATACGACCATTAACCGACATCAAAGAAAATCACAAAAATGTGAACGTGTTGTTAAATTACTGAAATAGTAGCCCAACTTAAAATCTCAGGAAGCACATCAAGTGAATATTTTCGGTAAAAAGGGGTTCGACTGACAAAAGCATATGTGAATCATTAGTTCACAATGAGACCAACAATGAGCATTAGCACTAAAAAAGTAGCACTATCGCTAAAAAGCACCCAAAGAGAGAAAGAAACATGAAACTGCCCAGAAAGTCCATTTTATTCAACCAAAAGCACTTGAAGGCACCTCAGGTGATAATTGAGACGGTGAGTGAGCATCAGATGTGGGCCTGCTGTACCTGGAGAAGCGTCCCCGTCGAGCAGGTTGTCGTCCTCGGTGGTGTGGAAGTCCATGATGACGCCGGCACCATCGAGGAGCTCCTCGTCGCTGCTGGCGCTGGTGATGCTGTTGTAGCTGTTCCTGCCGAAGCCTCTGTTGAACAGCTGCTCAGACTCCATCTAGCAACACGACAGCCTGAGAAGAGCAACACAGACAGTCAGCTGACCGCACTTCACCAGAAGCCACACCGACGATTCAAGCGAAGGAATAACTTATACATTTAATCATGCAAACATACAAGTGGAAGAAATATCACTTTTAAATGGACAAATTATCAGGCATGTGACCCTGGAGCACAAAACTAGTCATAAGGGTCAATTTTTTGAAATTGAGATTTATACATTATCTCAAAGCTGATTATAAATAAGCTTTCCATTGATGTATGGTTTGTTAGGATCGGACAATATTTGTCTGAAATACAACTATCTGAAAATCTGGAATCTGAGGGAGCAAAAAAAATCTAAATATTGAGAAAATCATCTTTAAAGTTGTCCAAATGAAGTTCTTATCAATGCATATTACTAATCAAAAATTAAGTTTTGATATATTTACGGTAGGAAATTTACAAAATATCTTCATGGAACATGATCTTTACTTAATATCCTAATGATTTTTGGCATAAAAGAAAAATCTATAATTTTGACCCATACAATGTATTGTTGGCTACTGCTACAAATATACCCCAGCGACTTAAGACTGCTTTTGTGCTCCAGGGTCACATATATTAAAACTGTTAATTCATATTTTAAAATTAAGTCATTAAAAACTAAAATGACAAATTAACAGTAACATTTAAAGTAAAAAATTATTCAAATTTGCTAAATTATTTATTATTTTATTATTAACCACATTTAAATACATGAATTAACTTTTCATTTGGTTATTTAAACATATATAAAACAAAATTTTAAACTTATTTAACATTTAAACCATACTATATAAACATTACACAAATAAACCGTTATAAATGTCTATGGTGTGATTAATTTATTAATCCTCCTTGCTGAATAAAAGCATGCATTTCTTTTAAAAATAATAATAACAATTACTATATTATTACCATCATTATTATAAATAAATAAATATTCCTAATTGTGTCATGCGAGTTTGAGTAATAATAGCAATAACATTAATTATTAATAATAATAATAGATAATACATAAAATGCATATAAATAATTGTTATACAGGTTTGAATAATAATAATATTATTATTATTATATATACTTAATATTAATAAAAATATTATAAGTAATACTGCTACTACTGCTACTAATAATAAAAACAACAATAATAATAATAATTTTTTTAATTATTATTATTAAATCATAAATAAATAAATATTACTATTTGTGTCATGCAAGTCTGAATAATAATAGCAATAATATTAAAATATATTATTAAATAAATGTTATACAGGTTTGCAAAATAATAACAATAATATTATATTTTATTATTGTTATGAATACAACAATATTACAAATATTATAAATAATATATATATTATAAATATTTAATCTAAATAATAACACAATAAATATTATTTTACTAAAAACAAATATTATTTGTGTCATGCATGCATAGCGATACAAATACTACTAATACTTGATAACACATAAAATATATTATGCATACATGCATAAATCAAATCAGAGGAGCGTCGTGAGGTCATGATTGTGATTAAATCACTGCTGCCCCCTACTGGACAGAGTATTAAACATCCACAGAGAGAGAGTGAAAACCGCAGCAAGTGCTCTGTGTGTGTGTGTGTGTGTGTGTGTGTGTGTGTAACTTAAGTGTGTGTGTGTGTAACAGAGCAAGAGTCAAGAGTCAAAAGTCACTTTTACGGTTTAACGTTTAATCATTCAGTACTGTGTATGAAAAGTACAAAGTCACCACAGCACTTCTGTATGAGCGCAAACTTGAAAATGACACACATTTATGATATTTGATATTAGACAGTGCTCAACCAATCAGGCTTTTTGAACAGTTGAATATAGACAAAAACAGATAAACAATCGGATGTGACAAGAGAAATCTGGTGACTTACAACTGGAGTCTGTGTGTGTTTGTTCTCCATAACGTCTCCAATCGTCTCATAATGATCCATAACCAGAATAATAGAGTTTCCTTCTCGACTCGTTTCTCTCTGTATTTCCTACTTCACATGTGTTTGTTTCTCTCTCTCTGTCTTTCAGTTTTTTCCTCTTATCTCTGGACCCTGGTCTGAGACGAATCACGAGTCCTCGTGTGCAGAGTTACAGTCACAAGCCTCCGCTCGACTCACATCATTAATAATAACGGTGGAAATAATTAACCACAATGCCAGCATCTGTGAGCATCTGATCATGTGTGGAAATTTCACTTATAATCGGGAAAAAAAAAGACATGAAGACAGTATGACATGAATAGAATGTGTATATTATTATTATTATTATTATTATTATTATTATTATTATTGATCAATAAATGAATAAATAATAAACTAAATAAAAATGTTGTGTCTCACAGGTATAATTCATTATTATTACTATATTATTATTATTGTTGTTGTTATTACTGTTTAATAATTTAAATAATAAATATGTAATTTGGGGGGTTAAATAATAACAATAATATTAATTATTATTATTGTTGTTGTTGTTGTCATCATACTGGTTTGAATAATAATACTAATAATACAAATAATAATAATAATAATAATAATAATAATACATCGTACATAAATATTATTAGTTTTGCAGTTAAATTATTTACATAATAAATAAATATCTTTATTATTGTGTAACAATAAAATTAATAATAATAAAAATAATACATTAAATAAATAAATATCATTATTTGTCATACAGGTTTGAATAATAATAATATCAATAATAGACAATAAATATTGTTGTTAAACATAATAAATAAAACTAAATTGTTTTAAAATTAAATTTATATATAATTTTCATATAAAAAATATATTATTATTATTATTACTATTATTATTAAGTCTCTTCTGATCACTTAGGCTGCATTTATTTCATTAAAAATACAGTAAAAACAGTAATATTGTGAAATATTATTACAATTTCAAATAACTGTTTTGTATTGTAATATATTTTAAAGTGTAATTTATTTCTGTGATCAAAGCTGAATTTTCAGCATCATTACTCCAGTCTTCAGTGTCACATGATCCTCAGAAATCACTCTATTGCTGCTTTGTAACTGAATGAGGAGGATGTTTTGAGTAATAGATTAATTTTGCAAGCAAATCATGAGATGGAGGGATCTAGCTGGTGTTTGTCTGCGGGACTCGAGCACAAGAGCCGCTCTGTGAAGAATCAAACTGTCTGGAGGACGGCCGGGTTAAATCTAGTTGAAACAAGAAATTCAATTGATTTGCTTCAATTTGAGTGTTTTTTTATGCCCAGAAACATCCGAGAGCCTTCCTCAGAGTTCAGGAGGGAATCGCAGCGCTGATAAACACTCATTCAACCTGACGCTCTCTATACGTCACATTAGGAGGCATTCCTTCAGATATTTACTTGAAACAGACCATCCTGCTAACATACAGATATTCATTTAAATTATATTAATTTATTTTTTTATTATTATTATTAGATATTCA